TTGCACGTGAGCAAGCAAATATTTGAGTGGCCCTGCCGAGTGAGAGCATTTGAGTCATGTGTGAGAGCATTTCAGGTGTGTAAGTTTTGGGAGTATGGAAGCATTTCATCGGTGTGTGAGTGAAAAAGCCATTCATTAATATGAGTGTCGCAGGAGTGTTTGTGAAACACGAACACGAGGGGTAAGGGAAGGATGGCAATCGCGTGTGAGTGTTTCAGTAGTGTGAGAGCGTTTCATCTTGAGTGGAAAGAAAGTAGTAGCGCGCATGACCATTTGAGTCGGCGTGAGGTCGTTTCAGTCGTGTATGTGAGAGCGATTCAGAAGTGTGAATGAGTTGCGCATTTGAGAAGAAAAAAAATTCTCCCTGAGAGCCTTTCAGCAGTGTGGTAGCCTCTCACTTGCGTTTGTGTTTTGATTTCTGTAGGCTGTGAGAGAGCGTTTCAAGAATCTCTAAAAGTGAAAACAATGTGCGTAGTGTGTGAGAGAGTATTTCAGTAATGGATGGAAGCAAAAGCAAAGCAAAAATCTGTCCAGAGCGTGACAGAACACTTCCGTTGTGTATATGAGAGCGTTTCAAAATAGAGCATGAGAGTGTTACAGGAAGAGTGCGTGAGTGAGAGAGAGTGCATCAGCATTTTATGAGACTGAACAATTTCAGTCAGTCAAAAAATCTGCAGAGTGCGAATGTTTATCCGAATGTGAGAGCATTTCGTTGTGCACGTGAGAGAGATTTTTGCGTGAGCTTCTTGAATTGTCTTACCAAGTCTGTGGAAGGTGTAGTGTCCCTCCATGTACTCGGACGGCGTGGAGAAAGTCGTGCAGCTGGCATACTCGTGAACTTTTCCCGGCGTCATGACCGGAAACTCTCCTGCTCTCACACACAAACGCACGCTTAATCGCTTGCCTTCCCCAAGCGGAGTCGACGCCCCCCGCGCGCGGCGAGTCAGGCGAGGCGAGCAGCGTACCGACCACGCCGGGCCCCTGCACCTCTTCCACGTTGCCGTCGGACGTGGTGATCTTCCAGTAGCGGCTGTCCAGCTGGCAGGCCACCTCGGGCGGCGCGCCGCTCGCCATCTCGATTCTGAGCAGCACACATTTGGCCGGTCCGGCGCCGGCGGGGCGGGCGGC